GGTGATGTCAGGGGGTGTGGCATATGCTAATGAGTTATGCTAATGAGTTCCCCTAGCTCTTTTTCTACAAAACGACCCCTGGAGGACATGAACACATGAAGCTGCCTTAGACTAAATCAAGCGGATGGTCTCTCAAGATCAGCCTTGTAGCCCCAACCTGGATAGCCCAGGCAAGCCCGATCTCGGAAGCTAAGCAGGGCCGACCCTGGCAAGTAATTGGAAGGGAGACCTCCAAGGAATACCAGGTCTGGGAGGCAGAGGCAGGCAATCAAGCCACCTCTCTGAAACATCCAAGCCCCATGAGGGGTCACCAGAAGTCACCATGACTTCCAGATGTGCAAGCACACACACACACACACACACAAACCCACACATACACACAAAAAGATCAGTCTCTTGCCTACTCTGACTGGCAGTGGCTCTCCAGGGTCTCAGGCCGAGGGCTTTCCTGTCACCTTTGACCAGATCCTTTTAACTTGAGATGTTGAGGATTGAAACGGGAACATTCTGCATGCCAAGCGGATGTCCTACCACTGAGCCATACCCAAGCATCCTCAGGACTTGAGTATTTGAGGCTGCAGCTGATTTCAAGAGGTCCTGTACACATGACAGGATTGGTGCCTTGGAGTCTTGCGTTGTCAGAAGAGGACTTCAGAATAAGCAAGCCAGGACAAACATAGTCAGTAGGGTTGCCAGGTCCAGGTTAGGAATTACCTGGAGATTTTTTGGGGGGGTGGAGCCTGAGGAGGGCAGGATTTTGGGAGACTCCACCTTCCAAAGTGGCCATTTTCTCCAGGGGAACTGATCTCCGTCTTCTGGAGACAAGTTGTAATCCCAGGAGATCCCCAGCTGCCACCTGGAGGTTGGCAACACTAACAGTCAGCCTTTTTTTCCATCTCTGTCTACAAAGATCTTGGTGAGATATTGATGCTCAGTAAGAGAGCTCTTTCGAGAACGGTACTTGAGAGAACAGCTCTGAGAGAACTGTGACTGACCCAAGGTCATGCCCAGCAGCTGCATGTGGAGAAGTGGGGAATCAGACCCGGTTCTCCCAGATTAGAGCCATCTCTCCTAACCACTACGTCCTAGTTTGTACCATTTCTGTCCCAATCAGTGAAAAGTGAGGGACTTAAAGCGAGGAAGTAGTCCTGGGTTGCTTGATTCACAGTGCAAACCTAAGGGCACATCTCTGGAAGCAAGATCCATTAACCCTATAATTACTTTTAAGTAGGATTGCTCCTGGAGTGATTTAACTTCACCTCTTGAAATACCTGTTAGTGGTCCCGCGTGGGATACCGCGCCGCTGAAGGGAGGCAAAGTAGAGCCGGAGCAAAAAGAACTGCGGGAGCGTGATCCGCCCCCATGGCTCCGTGCTCTCGGCAGGCGATCAGACGTAGCGCGGCAAAACAGACGTTGCGCGTTTGTGCGCATGCGTGAGACAAGGGACGGTGCTGGCTGCGATGGGCTACCAGCGCTTCCCCGATCAGACGCTTGGAGTTGCTGCGCATCATCCAGAAGGTAGTGCTCTTTGGGTAGTACCTTTTTAATGTGCGTTTACGGGCCAAAGGGGCGGATCGGGGTCGGGTATGTGACGCTTCCCGGTAAGTGAAGCCTGCTTTAACATCTGGCCGAACAGCTCCGGCTGTTCAAGCCCCACCGTGGCCGGGGTGAGCTCTTCTGCCCTAGGTCCCAGCTCCCGCCCACCCAGCGGCTCGAAAGCCCGTTAAAGGGCAAATAGACAAATGGGTACCTGCTCTTAGAGTGGGGGGGCACCCGTCTCTTGTGTAGTGGCGGCAACGGTGAGTGATGAGCGGTGGCGGAGAAGTATGGCGGCGGCTGGCGAGGCAAAAAGCGAGCGTAGGAGGCTGGACCAACAAGCATGGAGGTGGAGTGTCACAGCAGGTCGGAACCTAGTCTGGACAGTGGCCGCAGCGAGCATGTGCAGAAGCGCGAGTGGCCCAGGCCCAGAAAAGGAATCGCAACAGCCAGAAGGTGGGAACAAAAGGCGTAACTTCAAAGACCAGCGCCATCTCCCGCAAGAAAGACAACAACGAAGATCCGCTTCAAAAAGGGGTGCCTGGTAGGCTTGTCACTTTCCCTATATGTATGTGCCCCTAGGCTAGAATTTGTGTTAATTGAGACATGTAAGCCGCTCAGAGCTCTAAGGGGGTGAGCAGGATACAAACTGAATGAAATAAATTAAATAAATAATAAAGAAGCTGATAAAGGAGGAACACTTGTTGTCATGGACAAATCAGACTGCATTCAGGAAAATGAAAGACAGCTCTTCAATATTACTTTCTACATACAACTATCCTCAAAACCCCATTCAAGAATACCAAAAAGAACTCATCACATAGAGGAGCAAAGCTCTATGGACACACCACAGGATCATCAACTGGGCACTTTCTGTCTTCTGTCAAAAATATGCAAACCAAGATGTCTAACTATCTCAGCCATAGGCACCATCCCCATAGGGGTGTCTGGATACAAGAACTCTATTCTCAGACTTTATCTGATCAGTATCCCCAGTTATGTATGCAACGCCAAAAGACAGCAAGTAACCCTAAACAAGTTCTCACTCACATCAGTGCACTTTCTAACAGAGGAAGGAAGGAAGGAAGGAAGGACGGAAGGAAGGAAGTCTGGAAGGAAGGAAGGAAGG